ACAAAACTATATTCTCTTAACTGTTAAATGCACTTATATCCTCAATCCTCATATAACTATCATGATAGGTATATATTAGTTATCGTTTTGATTTATTAAAATGTGAGATATTGAGACGGATGAATATGTCTTGTAGATTGTATGATCTTAATATATATTTGTGAAATAATAAGTTAATTGATGGGATTCATGTCTCAATATAAATATTGGTGATATGCTTTTTTGAGAAGCTTATAAATTTTCATTGTGTCAAACCTTGCAAATGAATTTCATGAACTCAAGACATGGTATAAGTAGAGTTTTAAGTTTTAAAGAAAATTAATCATTGAATTAAATTTGTCAGTATTTTGATTTATTGATTAGTATATGCAATCTTAATATGTAGAATTACATAAGTGTTTATGGAGAATTTTGAAATATAAATGGAGGAATGCAATTATGACTTTCTAGTGGAATGATTTGTAATTTATCTATGGTAAGAATAATTCATAATTCAAATTAGTGGTTTTGACTTTTAGACTATTTTTTAGTTTTGAAAGTGTTTGGATAACTCAAAAAGTGTTTTCTAAGGCTGAAAAAGTATCAAATAAGCTAAAAGTAAAAAATTGAATGTCCGTAACTTGTAACTTTTAGCTTTTGACTTATAAGTCACTTTAAAGAAAGCTCATTCAGACACCCCCTTAAAGCTTGTTCTACTTCAAAAAAATATTAACGTGCCAACATTTGTGTTAATTATTGTTATAGACTACCCTCTTTTAGTGTAGTTCAAATAGAAAATATTTAGCAACACTTATTCAGTTTATATCATCACTTTCAAAGGGTGCTGTTTTGTTAATCCTAGAAACAACTTTTCATAAACGTACTTAAAAAGTTTCTTATAAGATTTACTCCCATTATTATTTCTCTAATGAAATACCCCCTATTCAGGAAAGGCAAAGGAGACCTACAAAAAAGTTTTCCCCCAACCTTGCTACTCTTAAATTCCCAATCGACTAAACCAAATGAATTTTTCAGATGGATCCTTTATCTTCAATTTTAAGATTGTAGGTTCAAATTACCCAAAAAAGCAGAAAGGTGAAAGCTCTGAAATCGGGATACACATCACAAGTTTTTATAAAAATATCCCAAACGAAATCTTTTAGTTCTATGAGGCAGGTATATATTTCATTAGCAATTGTATTTGCCTTTTGTCTTTTTTGGGAATGTTTTTTGAAAAATATGAATTTAGGAAGCTAAAAAGATGGAGAAAATTTGAGTTGATGTTCAAATTAACTTAATTATATTAAATTAGGAAAGATCGTTATCGATCTATTAATCCAATATTAATATAACAATTATTAATTAAATTAATTGCATCTTCACAAACAAATAATGTTTTATACAGAATATAAGTAGGCGTTTGGCCATGCGATACCATATCATGATATGGTATCATGAGATGGAATCAACGTTTGGACATGTGATTTTACGCTGATTTCATCTCATGATTCCATATCATGAGATGTGATTCCATATTCTCCAAAAACCATGATATGAAATTATATGGGAATTTCATATCATGATTTGAGATAGTTTAATACAAAAATTGATCCACGAGTTTATATTTTGTTAAAACAACCCCACATTTATATCTACTAACTATTTATTTCATATGTAAATAAAATTTATAATCACATCATTACTTTTTAAAATTTATTATTCTCACCGACATAAAATTTATTATTCTCACCAACATATAGTCACTTTAACTCACACCAACCGATTGTTGAGTAGTAAATTTGTTCTGTTCATTTACTCCAACACTTAATTTATTACTTCTACCGTTTTGTATTTATTACAACTATAGTTATATCTATTTGAACATGGAGTGAAAGGTCTTCTCTTCATTTACTCTAATAAATTGATATGAAAGTTAGGTTGGATAGGCTTAAATGCATAATTATTTATACTCAACCATAAAGACTAGTACACTACAATTTATGTTCAATTTTTTTATTAAATTAAAGTTAGATGAAACAATTACTTCAGTGGAGAACAAATAGCTTTGTAATAATTTATTATGCGATTTTATAAATTTTTGTTTATTTGATAAGATTGAATAAACAATTGGGCTATTTTAATAGTTTTACAATTTATGGAATTTTTATGTTTATGAGAAAATATACAACACAAAAATTGCATATCACATGTCCAAACAAAACTTTAATTTCATCTCATGATTTCATATCATGATACCATATCGCATGACCAAACGAACCCAAGTCAGAGTGTTTATCATGGGCTATGATTTTATTTTTCTAGTAAACCATCAAGAACTTTCATCATTTGTTAGTAACACAGCACCTAGATGTGACACATGATACAAGTTCTCTTTGAGTACACGTGTTGTTTTGTTCTCACCTTTAATTAAAACTAGTTTTGACGCATGTGCGTTGCATGTGAATATCAAATCATATACTACACTATTTTTAAAATTAATGAGAATATTATAAAATTTAAAAATTAAGTAAATTATAATAAAATGAATGATAAAGTATAAGTTCCTATGAATAGTTTATGTTAACTTTCTTATGATTACTACTGAAAGTTAGTCACTCTAAAAATCTCTTAGTTACATGTAACATTCGCAACTAGAAAGAACTAGAAGGAAGTTTAAAATCTGGAAATAGTTACTTTTCGAAAGAATGAGGAAATCTGGAAATTTTTAAGTAAGTTCAATTGAGTTGTTGGTCAACTTCAAATGATCATAACTCCTACATCAGGATGAGTTAGGTGTATTTCCGGATATGGTTGAAAAGCCCTTGGAACGATCTTTCCAACACCGCCAAGTTTGCGCGATTCTGAGTTCGTATGGATGAGTTACGCTCTTTGGAAGTTGGGTTGTTGGATTAAGGAAATGTCCAATTTGAAATTTTAAGGGGTATTTTAGTGTTTTCATTGGCCTATTATTTTAATCCATTTTTAGGAGTTTAATATGGGTCAAATCAGATTTTAGTCAGTTTTAGAATTTGGGATTTCACGCTAGGGCTAAGGAGAAAGGAGAAGAGAAAAGAACAAGGAGAAAAGGTAAACTCATCAAGATCGATCAAGGAAGTTGGTGTTTCGCCAAAGATTTGCTTCTACCAGGTATGTGAGGCTCTCATAACGTTGGGATCGTTCTCCCACATGCCAAGCATGTTATTTCAGTTTGGATTCGTCCTAGAAAGCATTAGAATATTGATGATCTTGATACCTATTCTTGAATTCATATGTTGTTATTGAATTTGACTGAGTTGGGAAGTTTCTAAGTTCGTTACGTCGCATCATAGAGTCGTTTCGAGTTAGGTTCTTAGGTACATTTGCTGGGTATCTGTATCTAAAAGTAATTTGAGAAAAAGAACTGAGTCTGGGCGAATTGGGGTTGAAAAACAAAGAAGAAATTTCGTCGGACGAAATTAGGGAGGTGGCCACGCGTCGCGCGCCTAGTGCCCAGTTTTGAAAAATTCTGCTCCGCGTCGCAGAGCAGACACGGAGCGTTCTTCCTCAAAAAACATTTTCAAAACCAAAATTGAAATATGTCTTTGTGTCGTAGACCCACCTTCAAATATCGATTTTCGGTCTTTTCTCATGTTTAGCTATCTAGAATCATTCCTAAACAACATGAGATCTTTCCAATCACAAATCAAAATCCTTGAATCCATAATTCAATTCAAAGATCAGTTAAGAGTCAAGTCAAGAGCAGTTAAGGTCAAAGTCAAGAGAAGTTAAGAGTCAAGTTAAGATAAGTTCTTAAAGTTTTCCAAGAGTCTTTCACAAATGTTTTAACTTTATTTTAAGACTTAAGATTTGAGTTCAATAAAGATGTAAAGTTGAAGATCTTCTCTTTAAAGAAGTATATGGGGACTATGTATTCCCAAAGAGATTTAAAAATGTTTTCACATTTTAATAAGAACGAAAACTGAGATTTCCAAAGAGCCTTCGGGCTAGTTTCAGAAAAGAGTGTTAGCTTTCTAAATGAAGCAAGAAGGGAAACTGAGATTTCCAAGATAACCTTTGAGCTAAGTTTTTGAGCACTATTCTCAAATCACAGAAGAAGTATATTTTTAAAACATAAGAGCCAGTATATTTTGGGAGTAGTATTGAGCACCGAATTGGGGACGAGAATGAGTTCAGATAATTCACGTCACCATAAAACCATGTAGCCACGATGGGTAGAAAAGGGTCATACTTTTTAGATGAATCATTTTCGCAATAGACTAGTGGATCCATTAGGCAATTCAGGTCCTATACCTTTGGCCGGTTATAGGATGCGCTGGCAGCGTAAGGTAGATAAATGTATCATCACTATAGCTCTTATGTGATGGTTTCCGGTTAGATAAACTCCCACAAAAGATATTGTATTTTTACATACATTTCAGAGTTATGTTGTATCCACTACAAAAAAACACGCTCATTAGCCACGCACAAAACTGTGGCTAAATGGTATATAAACCGTGGCTAATACACTTTGGCCACAGTCAATTAGCCACGGTTGGTAGTGTGCCCATAACGGGGCGTCGTGAGTAAATTCGCCACGGTTTTTACGCCCGTGGTAACAAATTTTTAGCCACGGTCAGCCTAAACATTAGCCACAGTTTGTTCGTAGGTAAAGTTATTTGCCTGAAAAATAAATTATGTTTAAAAATTCTAAGTAGCCATGCTGAAACCGTGGCTAATAAAATGTAGCTACCTTGCGTGTTTTTCAGATAAGATTAGCCACGGCTGAACCGTGGCAAATGTGTGTAGTTTTTTTTTAAAAAATGCAATTAATTAATTCCCTGCAATGAACTGGTACAAAATACACTGATAAATGCACAAACATTACTTTAATGATCTATTCATCATACATATTAAAACAAAATGTGAGTTTCATCAATAAAGATAGCAAAAGTACTGCTAGTCATGTAATCAAAATGCAAAAAGTTGAAGCAACACCATATGTGTGTGTATATATATATATATATATATAATATATATATAAACTAAGAAGAATCTATGTTGAAACTAGGCAATTCATTACCAAATTTGGCTAGTAAAAACCTATGAAGAGTTTCCAAGTGATTCTCATTTTGTGCAAGTCGTTTCTTGGTTTCCTCAAGCTTTTCCTTGGTCTCTTCATATCCAGTCAGCTTCTCTTCCAAAGTTTCTACATGTTTCTCTAGGTATTCAACACGTTGATGAGACGTATTACTGAAATTGCCGACATTTGCATGACTAATTGAATGTCTAGGCATCCCAAAAACATCAGAAGGACAAACATTACCACCTATACCACGCACACGACCATAATGTTCAACTCCATACACTTTTCCAATGGCGTCATTGGGATGAGCCAATATCTTCAACAGAACACCTAAAGTAGCAGCATGTTCTTGATCTTCAGGTAGATGCTCCGATATTTTATCCTACAAATAAAATAGAAGACATGAGAGAGACATACCAACATTGTTTTTAATGAATGGTTAATCAACTCATTAGCAAGTATTGCAAAATTAAAACATCTCTTATCTTGCACTTATTAGAACGGATAAAAATATTTAAGTGGTGAAATTTATTAAGGGGTGGATGGCAATGGGTCTGGATGATTCTATATGCCAAATTTTCCAGGAAACTATTGTGTTTAGCATGTCTAAATAGGAGTTGGACTTATTTGTGTCTAGCTTTTCCTAAACATTAGAATTTAAAATTCAATCATTTGCTGGATATGTTTTAGGTTTTCCTACTATTATTTTCTACACACCAAAGGAAATTGGAGGACTTGGAATGTTGTCAATGGGTCACATATTGATCCCACATAGTGATCTTAGGTGTAGCAGCACGCAGATGTTGGTGTCACACATTTCAAAAGTGGAATGAGCCATGAAAAGGATTGGTGCGCACTAAAAAGATGCAGAGAAGGCAAAAAAATTTCTATACTTGCATGGTATTGCTAAGATTCAAGTAACATGTTGCTATACCATAAACTTTGACATCTAATAAAATATATAATGCAACTATCAAATAGCTTTAGTCCAAAAACCTTTTTGAACCATGTGTAGGATAAAGTTACATAACTTTAAGAAGATTTTTAAAAGAAATACATTCGAAACAGAACAAGACATATCATTTTTATACCAAGACTGTCACAAAAATAGACGAGTATTTAAAACTTACAGCTAAAATCTTCCCTTCTTCATTCACATAATTACCATTCTTTTTCAGTAAAGTTGACAATACAACTTCACTTCGGCACACAGGCCTTCCCAATTTTTGCTCCTATCATTAATCAAGTATAGATAAAAATAAGTAACTAGCAACACATTTTATTTTGTATAATAGTGTGGTTCTCAAATAAACTTCAAGGTAAAGAAACCTACCATTTGACGACCTCTCCTTGCATTACTTTTGCTACCACCGGCATGCGAGACTTTAAGTTTTGTTCTATTCTTCGTATTTTGTGCACTTTGTGTCTGCAACAATCAAACATTGAAAGTCACCAGCTAGATAATAACATACTGCCCCACAAGACTGCCCCACAAATTACAATGACATAAAAAAAATCTCCACCAAAACAATCCATATAAACATTACAGATCCTAAACAAATAATCCACACAACTCCGAAAACTTGGAAAACATCACAAGGGATTCCAATGCACAAGGAGGAATGTATGGGTGAGGGAACCAAACCAAGAAAACAATATCAACAGGTCCTCTGCTCCAGAACTAACATCTCCCCAACTACAGAGTAAATGACCAATAACATGTTAGAACAAATGCTTAAAAATTATGAAGAATAATTACCTTCATCTTATCTTCTTTATAGTGATGAACAAAAGCAGTCCAATCATTAGAATCCACATTTGCGGGACGATTAGCAAGTATCTCTTCCTTACTTTTGTTAGGATAGAAGTGGTCGCATCTTAACTTATATTTATAGGCCCTCCATCTATCGCGTAAAGAATGCATCACCCATTTAATTCCAATAGCATAATCAAACTCGAAGTTCTCCTTCAAATATTTTATATTCATAAATTCAGTATCTAACGAAAAAAATACATTAATTGAACTTGAAAGAATGCATCTAGTTACCTCAATAAGCTGCCACTGAAGGTGTGTTTTTGCCTTTGGCATCCTATCCCATCTCTCAACTGATATGGGACAAAATACTGACTTTTGAGAAAGTTTGCCAAGAAATCTCACAAGCAAGTTTGAACCATTATCACTTCCTTGTCCATCTCCATTGAGTTCAACCATAATTTTTTTATTTTTTTCCAAGTTCCAAACTCGATCTGGTTGCATCTTTTGAGTTGTAACTTCTCCAGTCGAAGTATGTATAATTGTAACAAGCAAACAACATTAATCAGAATACTAATAAAACTTGAGAAGTTTGAAGAAGAAGCTGGAAATATGAACTCCTGTACAGATCTGCTAATTTGGCAAAAAGAATATTAGTTTGATTGCAAATAACTAAATAATAACATAAATAATAGAGAATAAGAAATAACTCTAATATGAAATTACTTCTAACCTTTAATCTTGACAACTAAGGGCTCCTCTTTCTCTTGTGTGTTGGCTTCATTAGAGCTTGAAGAAGCATTTATGTTGCTATCTCTGAGTGTAGGAGTTATTATGTTCTCATTTTCAAGTTGTTCATCTGGTTGATCCCCATGAAATTGTTGCTGCAAATCTTGAGAAGTTATGCTTATGTTGTTAGCTTGTTGTCCCCGCAAGCTTACTAACAGTTCTTGTGCTGACTTCTTGCGTTTCTGCTTCATATGAAACTTATCCTGTAGAGATTACTTTAAAGAAATATAAATCATATAAGTTACTTAAAGTCTCCGCACCCGAACTAAACATACCAACAAAAATCTTTCTTATGATTCACAAGACTATGCAATTCATTAAAATGTAAATTTTCATTCCAAGTCACTAGCAAGCAAGACAACCAACCATCCATACAATACATTATGCAAAATATCTAACAGATAAGTAGATAAATAAACAAAGGATGCAAAACACACACAATTAATTAAAACAAATCAAGTAACGTAGAATCTTAGTTGTAATTTCTTTAACTTCATAATAGGGGAATTAAACTATTCTCGCATTCCATCCTCATAATCATTGTCGTCATCATCATCTCCAACACTGTCACCATCATCATCATCTCCACCACTATCACCATCATCATTAGTAGAATCACCTTGTTCTTGTTCACCACGATCAACTCGAACTAAAGGTAAGTCTTCAATATTTTCCAAATGTTGCTCACAGAAAGGTATGTCCTCCATTGGTGGCTCCTCTAAATCTACAAAATCCACATTTCCCATATCATATATGTCTCTCGGCTTCATATGACAAACACAACACCAATCTTCATCAATTGGATCATCAACATAGTATACCATTCTAGCATCAGATGCAAGTATAAATGGTTCATCTGTTTCTTTTTCACCCGTGTGCATCAAACTAGAAAAGTTTACACTTGTAATCCCAAATTGATCTATCTTAATTCCCTTGTTAAGTGTAGTGTCTACCCAAAGACATTTGAATAACACAACCTTTAACTTGCCATAATAATTTAACTCTATGATGTCAATCAATTTACCATAGTACATATCATCACTTGACTGTTCAATAGATTCTCTACCATTTGAAAATCTTTTGGTAACAGCAGACATAACAACACCACTATTTTGTGTTTTCAATCCTTGCTCTTTCCACATAGTACGAAACTTAAACCCATGAATGTTATACTCTTTGAATCTCCTCACGACATTGTTTGGCCCATTTGCAAGCACTTCGATTTCTGGCGTAATCTCCACACCATTCTGACTTGCAACCTTTATTATAAAATATGTTAGGAAAGTCATATATAATTATAAGATTTTGAGTCTAAAAGGGAATTAAATATTTGGAATCGATCTTACATATTCCTTAAACCACTCATGAAAATGTTTGTGTACATATTCTTCCACAAGTTTTGAGGAGTTTCTTTTGCCACGATACATCCTAGAGACCTCAATTCTAAACTTCCTGAATGTAATAATAAATCATATATTAAGGTATAAAATACATTAGAATAAGAAAATGAATAATATGTAAGATCATATAACTTACTCTCAAAATGCATCAACTATTTCACAATTGGTTAACACATATCGGTGAGCTTGTATAATTTCCAACGAAGGGATGGATAGCGTCTTAATAGCCCCAATAGGCTTCCCTGATGCAGGAAACAACCTTGACAAGATAGTAGATTCAATACTAGCATTAATTCCATTGTCATCATCATTACGCCTTGGTCGATTAAACCTTGTTTCTATATTAACATCTTCAAAATACATAGAACAATTAATAAGGTTTTCCTCCGTAAGGGAACCTTCAGCTATACAACCTTCTGCAGCTGAATTGTTATGAACATACGATTTAAAATGGCCCATTCCCCTAAATAAATATTAATACAAATTGTAAGATTAGAATTAAAAAAATACATAAACTTCCTAAGCAACTAATATACCTTTCAACAGGGTACATCCAATGACCTTGTACAGGACCCGCAAGAATTGCTTCCTCTCCAATATGAATGACCAGGTGAAACATGATAGTGAAAAAGGATGGAGGAAAAATTGCTTCCATATTAGCATGATTCAACCAAATTCGTTGCTGGAGATTCTCTACATGCTTCACATCCAAAACCTTGCTTGATATTTCTCTACAGTAGTTACATAACTCAATCAACACTGAAGTAACTTCTTTAGGAAGAGCTCTTCTACAAGCAATTGGCAAAAGATGCTCCATCAAAATGTGGGAATCATGACTCTTTAAATTAGAGATCTTGCGTTTCTTAAGATCAACACATCTAGAAATGTTTGATGCATAATTATCTGGAAACACCACATTGTTTAAAACTTTTAGAAAGATATCTTTCTTATCTTTCTTCATGTTAAAGCATGACGGAGGAAACTTGGAAGAATTAGGATATGGATGAAGCTTTTCTCTAATTCCCATCACTTGCAAGTCTTTACGAGCTTGCAAATTGTCTTTTGATTTTTTTTTGTCCCCAAGTACAGTAAACAATACATTATCACAAACATTCTTCTCCACATGCATCAAGTCAAGGCAATGACGAATAAGATGATTCTTCCAATAAGGTAAATTCCAAAAGATACTCTTTTTCTTCCATTGTTCTGGGCCAACCTTACTTGTACCATCATCACGAGGTCTCTTTCGACTCTTCTCAATTTGTCTTAGCAGGGTTAAACCCGATGGTGGAACAGGCGCAGGTCTATGCTCTTCAAAACCATTAAAAGACTTTTTGTTGTATCTATATTTGTGATCATGTGGCAAAAATCGACGATGTCCCATAAAGCAATATTTTCTACCAAACTTTAGCCTCATAGAATCTGTTTCATAATTACATGATGGACAAGCAAGTGATGTATGTGTATTCCATCCAGACAAGTTGTCAAGACCTGGAAAATCACTTATGGTCCACATCAATGCAGCACGCAATTGAAACATTTCCTTCGTTGAGCAATCATAAGCATTTACACCACTCCACAGTTGCTTTAACTCAGCAATTAAAGGTTGCAAGTAAACGTCAATGCTATTTCCAGGCATTTTAGGACCAGGAATTATCATTGACATGATAAGAGAAGATTGCTTCATGAAACACCAAGGAGGATAATTATAAATATACAACATCACAGGCCAAATGCTAACACTGGAACTTAGATTTCCAAATGGATTGAAACCATCTGTAGCTAAAGCAAGTCGCACATTACGAGTCTCCGAAGCAAAGTCCGGATAAAACGAATCAAAATGTTTCCATGCTTTGCCATCTCTAGGATGTCGTAATAACCCATCTGGATTAGCTTTTGTAGTATGCCACTTCAAGAGTTCTGCAGTTTTAGAGCATTTGTATAGCCTTTTCAGCCTAGGTATAAGTGGGAAGTACCGCAACACTTTAGCTGACTTTGGTTTCTTTCTATGTTGGTCATCAAGTATAACATTTGCACCAATATCATTTTCATTTGACATAAACCTGGAAGTATTACAGACCTTGCATTTATCTCTATTCTCATCCTCTGATGATCCCCAATATAACATACAATGGTTTGGACATGCATCAATCTTTTCATAGCCCAAACCTAACTTCTTAATCATCTTTTTTGACTCATAAAATGATGATGGTAGTTTCACATGGGGAAATGCATCTTTTAAAAGATCAAGAATCATTGAAAATGTTTTATCTGTTGCACCACATAAGACCTTAATATGATAAAAACGAACAATGAATGACAACTTACTATATTTTGTACAACCATCATAAAGTTCTTGATTCCCATCCTCCAACAACTTCTTAATTTTCTCTGTCTCTTCTTGACTCCTCTCTTCAGAACCTCTAGAATTGTCATTATTTGGTAGATTTGATGGATCATTATTGTCAAAGATACCAAAAACATCATTCAACATATCATTCATAGGATATTGTCTAGTCGACTCATTTTGTACTTGGGATATTGATTCTACATTGCATTGAACATGTTTTTCACCATGCATATGCCAATATGTGTACTTTTCTGGAAACCCCCTTTGAAGCAGACGACTGAATACTTCAGCTCTATTGCACATAACAGAAAATCCACATATAATACAAGGACATAAAATTTTTCCATCAATAGATGCATTTGAAAAGGCAAATTCCAAAAATTGAACTACACCATCTGAGAATTCTTTCGATTTAATTGGACTCTCAATCCAACTCTTGTCAATCATGTTGGAATGAAGTTGTTTAAGATACGAACAAACACAAAATATGACTAAGTTTTTTACAAATGCACAATATATGAGAAAGTCATCCTTTTTTCCAAGCTTTACAGAATCAAATTATTTGAAGATTTCTTATCCACCAAAGATCTTTCTATCCATGTGATCCTATGCTAAAAGATGGATACTGATACAGATTTGGGGCAATAGTCATTTACGTTAATTGGATGTTAATCATCAAAAGGGTTTTTCACATGTATAACTCTTCAAACTTATATAATTCTATTGAGGTTTGGATTATAAGTGACTTTAATTTAAATGGATCTTACTGTCTTAAATTATTGGAACAATAAAAGTAACAATATATGAAAGTTGTAAATACTTGAGACATTGCATTTATTATAGCAGTGGGACTTTGTTATCTATAATGTTGCTTGAGCCGAGGGTCTTTCAAAAACAACGTATCTACCTCCATGAGGTAGGCTTAAGGTCTATGTGTACTCTACCCTCTCCAAACCACACACTGTGGGATTACATGGGGTATGCTATTATTGTTGACTTTGTTACCTATAATGAACCATAACAATTGTTCTTGTTTTCATAGTTTAGAAAGTTTCTTTGCATGACAATTTGTAAAGAATTTTAACTGACCTACAAAGATATCTTTACAGGTCTATCATTTCCTTTAACGAGCCCACGAAACTCAAAGGCCATAGGAATCAGCCTAAGCTACGTCTGATATGACGGAATAGGATGAGATCCTATTTTCATGTATGATTTCTTGTAAACTAAGAGAGAATTGGCTTTAATTTTACTTGGATTCTCATTTGGGACTGCTTAATCTCAATTTGGGGTTAATTTTACTTCTTTTTATTCTTTCAGCAGATTATTCTACTTTGAAATTGCTAAATTATGACAAATCCTTAATGTATATTGATTCTTTAGTATTAATCTTTCTCATCCCTCACCTCATCAAAGTGGGAAAAATAGAGAGTATATCGTAATAGAAATTTGAAAATTGCACCCGACAAAATTGAAGCAAACAGAAAAAAATTGATAAAACAATGGAGGTTCGTAGAATCTATGTACCTAGATCGAGGTTCGTACCTGAACTGCGATGCGAAGCAATCGTTTTCCGCTGGAGAGACGTGCTGCTGCAATTGTTTTTGGGGAAGATGAACCAGTCGGTTCTGATATTTTAGGGATATGTATTGGATTGGAGAGATGCTGCAATTCTTTTCTTCTTTTTATTTTTGGTAAAAATAAAATTTTATGAAATTAATGGAGGGAATGGAAAAAAGGGAGGGAGATTATACCCGCGTGATTTTGCCACAATATTTTAGTGACAATTCTTAATATGTGGAGAAAATTATATTTGTCTATTAATTTAGCTACGGTTTATTCAACTGTGGCTCAATAACCGTGGCTAAATAGCGCTTTTTTGGTAGTGATCATTGTATATACACAGAGTTGACATCATGTTTTTAAACCACTTTTCTTTATATTGCACTTATTTTAAGTTGCTTTATAATGAAATGAGTTTAGTTAAGTATTCATGAGTTGATAAGAGTCAAGGTAAGTGTTTATTTCAGATTCTCTTTCAAGCTTATGTTGTTTTAGCATTCCAACTCGCATACTCATATATTCAATGTACTGATGTCAGTTGGTCTGTATCGTCTTATGATGCAGATGCAGGTAACTAGGATCGGCATTCCAGCTCACCGTTGATCCAGTGAGCAGTTCAGAGTCAGACGGTGAGCCTCCTTGCATTTCGGAGGATCTATTTTCATTGCTTTCTAATTAGTTCATTAGGATGTTGTGGGGTTGTCCCAACATCTATCTCAGTTGTTTTAGAGGCTTCATAAACAGTCAGTTGTTAGTTTTTTAGTCTTATTCATTTCATTTCTATCGTTTAAGACTTGAGTTGTCATTTTGGCTAAGATGTTATTTCTTTGAGTTATTAAATGAACATTGTCTTCCGCTGAGTTAAGTAAGCCAGGTGAAGGGTTTGCTTGGGGCCAGCAATGGTGTTCGAGTGTTGGCCATGCCCAGGGTGTAGGCTCGGGGCGTGACATTACGCCTCTTAAATATAATTTCTCCTCCCTCCCATAGTGCATTACTTATTTATTATTGTGTTGTTGGAGTTTTTACTTTTAACATAAAATAATAAATAAATATTGATATAAAACATAAAAGATATACTAAATTGGATGTTTTTAGTTGGAGTAATATATTAATTTAACATTAATGTAGGAGTGTTCAAATTTCATGAACTTTGAGATTGTCAACGTCTGTCAATCAAACTTGAGTTTTTAAGAAGAGAAGAATAGAAAACATAAAAAAAAAAAAAACCGTTGTTTAAAAGTGTGAAGAAACCCCTCCATTCATAGTTAACAAATAGTAGTATGAGCATATTCATATTGTTTCTTATCATAAAAGTCATAACCCTTCTAAAAGGTTACAACTCATAGGAAAAGTCACAACTCTTCGGAAAAGTCATAACCATTCAATGAGAAATGTTGTCTTCTTTTAATATAATATAAAATATAAAAGCTATACTAAATTTGGTGTTTTAAGAAGAAGAACAATGAAAATCTTTTTAAAATGTAGTTTAAAAGTTTGAGGAAACCCCTCTTTTTATTGTCAACAAAGGGTAGTGTATGCAAGAATACATTCTGCCTTATAAAAAATGAGTCACAACCTTTTAGAAAATTCATAACCCTTCAAAAAGGTCAAAACTCATTAGAAAAGTCATAACTCTTTGGAAAAGCCACAACCCTTCGAAAAAGTCACAACCGTGTAAAAATTCACAACCCTTCGAAAAGGTCACAACTCATCGAAAAAGTTATAAGTCTTTGGAAATGTCACAACACTTCAATGTGAAAAAGTGACTATTTTTAGTATAATATAAATAAATAAATATAATATAATATAATATAAAATATATAACATATACTAAATTTGGTTTTTAAGTTTGGGGTTTTATAATAATTTATCAATTAAGCTAGGTATAGATAAAAGAGAAATATATAGATTTGTCTAATTTTCATTTGATATGAAATTTTAAAAAATAAAGAAGAATTTTAATCTTAGGATATTTAGAATATATAAAAATGTCTTTTAACTTTATGTTCTTAAAGATGGTGCCCCCACCCCCAAGAAAAAAGAACATTCTATATTATACTTAATAAAAATAAAAGGCCAACATATCAATTTAAAACAGAGGAGTACCTA